AGATGATCTTGAGGCACAGAGCAAAAAAGCTATTATGAACTGTAGGTCACTGTGAAATCGCTTCTTGGGAAGAAAACGTTTACCCGTGGTTTTTGGTTTTCTCTAAATATTTATGTATTGATTTATTTAGTTCTGAGTTAGGCAACGTACTGTAAGATGATATTACTTTAATCATCTTCACATGAATATTTATGGTAGCCACCGGTGCCTCATCCTTTAGTAGGACTTAATTATACATTTGTGGGCAAAATAGTCATCTAATGGTATGTACATATTGTTATGTGACAAATTTTTAATCGTTTGATAATGGTTGTCTGTGCCTAACATACCGAGTATTCTTTGAAATGTCTGTATCTGTTTAATAGTGCAAAATTACTGTACATCTAGCCATTGAAACAGTTATATGGAAGACTTTTAATTACAACTAATTATAGTTGTTGGACAAATCATTATAATTTTAGAGATAGATGAGGGCTTACAGATCAGCCAGTCCAAAGTGCAAAAACTGCCAACAGCCTGGTGGGAAAACTAGGAAGCCACATTTTTACTACAAATATTTATTATAAAACAATAAAATTAATATTCTCTAACAACAGATGAGGTGTGACAGACTTTTATTTTGTTTGTTTTTTAAATATATTTTTATTGATTTCAGAGAGGAAGGGAGAGGGAGAGAGAGATAGAAACATCAATGAAGAGAGAGAATTATTGATTGGCTGTCTCCTGCAGGCCCCCCACTGGGGATCGAGCCCCCAACCCCAGGGCCTGGGCCAGGCTTGGTCAGTCTCTTACTAGATCATGTCTAGAATACGGGAAGATTGCTCTGAACTTTCTGTTTAGTCTTTCTGCTACTCACAAACCTCCACTGGGCCCAACCCCTATGAATCAGTTGGTTGAACGTCATGCCATGCACCAGGTCAAGGACTGGATTCCCAGTCACATACCTGGGTTGTGGGCTGGATCCCTAATAAGGGGTGTGCAGGAGACAGACAATAATTCTCTCTCTTCATTGATGTTTCTCAACAATCTTTCTATCTCTTTCCTTCTCCTTCCTCTCTTTGAAATAAATTTAAAAAATATAAAACAAAACCTTTATTGGCTTCAAAACCTTTATTATCTGTTAGAGTTTAGAGATCTCTACAATCATCAATCTACCTTTCTCTTCTTTAGCCAATATTTGGAATGACATTTCCTTGCCTCCTGCTATTAAAATCTCTGCTTTTCTTCAATATTTCACTCATGGTAGCCAGCACACCTGAATTCTAATCCTATTTCTGTTATTAATTAGGTGTGATATTGTTGGCAGGAGAGGAGAATAGGAGCTTTCTTATAAGTAACATATATGTGATTTAATACATAGTCTGTGTAATAACTACTTTAATGTCTCAGACTTTTTATGAACTTACTAATTCTAGTCAATTTTCAGATAAGTAAAGTTGCTACATAAAAGTGTAAGTACTTAATATATATTTAACAATAAATGAATGAGTGACTCTCATCTTTGAATAAAGGCGTGCTAGTGTTGCATAGTAATAATAAATAAAATATTAAAAGACAAAATAAAAAAGATATAACTGTCCCGACAATCAAGTAAACATCTTTAACAATTATAATTGTTATACGACAATTTCCCTCCACCCCCCACCCCAAAGTTGAATCATTAACAAACTCTGATTCTGAGGAAATGCTGATTGTGTTTATGAGAAAATTCATGGCTTGGGAGCCAGAGTAATCAGGAATACTGCATTAATATTAAACAGCAAACCTGTCTAGTGCATTTTCCTAATTGCATTAAACAGTAATGTTATATTTAGTCAAAAGTCTTCACAGATGATATTGCTCAAGGGGATTTCGGTGCTTCAGTTTGCACATTACCTTCAGTCTGTTTTGCTTGCTTTTCAGTGTTGTCACAGTAATGGGATATTATAAGTAAAGTGAGTACAGAACTGCTGCTAAAGTGAATATTGATTTGTTTTAAGATTTGTACTCTAGCCCTAGCCGGTTTGGCTCAATGGATAGAGCATTGGCCTGAGGATCAAAGGGTCCCGGGTTCGATTCTGGTCAAGGGCACGTGCCTTGGTTGCAGGCTCCTCCCGGGCCTGGGCCCTGGTCAGGGCACGAGCAGGAGGCAACCAATCAATGTGTTTCTCTCACATGGATGTTTCTCTCTGTCTTTCCCTCTCTCTTCCACTCTCCCTAAAAATCAATGGAAAAATATCCTCGGGTAAGGATTAACAAAAACAAACAAACAAACAAACAAACAAGCAAAAGATTTGTACTCTAAAGCCACGAGATAGCTAAAAATTTAGCTATTATAAAGGACAAAAATGAAAGTCTTCTATGTGATGACTGCGTTCAAGTAAAAAAACAAACAGTACTCTTTTTAGAAATAAAGAAAATTTCTATTTAGATAACATTGTAAGGTTTGCTCCAAACTCATAATAGTCATTCAAAAAACAAACCCCAAAATATGTGCGTTGGCTAGATAATAAGATAAACACGCACCAGAAACAAAACAGAAAGACAAAGTGGTGAGCGGTGCTACAGCGGGTGGGCTGAGCTCTCACTGGAAGAGTGGGCCCTGGCACCTGGGTGTTCAGTCCCTGCAGGCTAGTGGAAATGAGATGTTCCCCATGCAACGTTCCTTCAACTCGCTGATTACAGAAGCAGTAGTTCAGATATCGCTGTACCAGGGCCCCTAACATATCAGTGTAATACACTGTGGAACCCGCCGAAAGTGAAGTAGAGAAGACTTCATAACCACTAGATAAGGAGGAATAACCACAGAGAAGAAAAAGGAAAAAATTAATCTGTACTCATAATGAGCCTGCAAAATTTAGCCAACAAAATCAAAATTTGAAACAATAATTCACTACAAATGAAAATAATTTTATGGAAAGTCTAAAAATTCTATACACTTAGGGTACAAAGAGAAAAATTATGGAATAAAAGCCATTTAAAAGGATAAGAAATTAGGAGAATATGAAGAAGAATCACTTAGATATCTTAGATTTTTTTAAAAGAAAGTCACTGAATTAAAAAAAAAACAACTCAAAAGCTGGGATCAACTCTAGACTGAGCAGAGTTGAAAAGAGAATTCATAAATTGGAAGATTGTACTGAGGAATCTATTAAAAAATATAGCACAGAGACACATATAAAATGAGCCATTAAGACATATAAAGAATAATACCTAATAGACTCAGATAAAAAGAAGAAATTATGGCTGAAAATATTTGAGGGGACAGTAGCTCTCTAAAATATTTAAAGGGGAAAATAAAGTTTATTTCAAAGGAGGGACAGTTTGATCCCAGACTTTTTTTTTTTTTTTTTTGAGAGGAGAAGAGAAGAGAAGAGAAGAGAAGAGAAGAGAAGAGAAGAGAAGAGAAGAGAAGAGAAGAGAAGAGAAGAGAAGAGAAGAGAAGAGAAGAGAAGAGAAGAGAAGAGAAGAGAAGAGAAGAGAAGAGAAGAGAAGAGAAGAGAAGAGAAGAGAAGAGAAGAGAAGAGAAGAGAAGAGAAGAGAAGAGAAGAGAAGAGAAGAGAGATAATCGCTTTGTTGTGCCACTTATTTATGCATTTATTGGTTGATTCCTGTATGTGCCCTGACCAAGGTCAAAACCACAACCTCTATCATCTGATATATCAAACCAGCAAGGTTTGGTTTTCTGCTCAACCTATCCCCAGTGGCAAGCGTATATAGATAGCATTGCCCTCAGTCAAAAAAACACAAATATGCAAATGTCACTGTTTGCAAATTTACCCACCAGCTAACGTCCTCCCCTTGCAGGGACTGCCTTCGCTCTGCAGGTAGGATAGCTTCCAGAGAGGAAAAGGAAGACTAGTTTATTGCTCTCAAATCCAGTCAGATAAGTGACTCTTTCTTCCCACCAAGGAGATAGTGAGGGAGTGGAAAGAGGCCAGGAGAGTACTGCCTGAGTTCCATCCGCATGAAGTCGAGGGAGGGAATAGATATTCTCTTCTGATCCTCCCTAGATTTTGTTCTCTTCATTGATTGGGCCTAAGCCTGCAGTCCACTTAGGAAGAGATCAGTAGTTTGTCATGCAATTGGACTGATCCTCACGCTAATAACAATCTTGGGTGGGGGAACTAATCAAGAGCAAGTCGAAGGCAACCAAAAGCGAGAGAAATTGGAGGGGAAAGAGGAACTGCAAGTTTTCCCTCAAGACTATGATAATGCTGCTTGCTCTGTCTAATGCTGTCTAATGCATTAGAACAACATCATACTGTTTGCTGTTTTAGGTGGATCCCAAATAGCATACAGTTGGATATAGTATTTTGTTTTCTATGATTTAAGGTTCTTTGACTTTAAGAGGAAGTTTGCATTTATCATACTAAATAGTGTAATTGTTCTTATTTTGTCATCTTAGTTTGTACTGTTTTTATGTTGTCTTATTCCTGTTTTTCCCACCCTGCTTTTGCTAGTTTTTCTTGTTTTGCCCCTAGTAATTTATAAATTAGTAATTTATAAATGAATCCTATTTTTATTTAATTAGTAATTACTTTTTAAAAAAAGAAAGTGAACCTCTATTTCCTTACCAACATTAAGAATACATTAGTATCAATTGATTCCCTTGGAAATAATGAGTCACATACTTTAGTACCTCCCTTTGTCCTACTTCCCACCATTTATCAGAATAATTTGGGCTTTAAAAACTATTATTATTTCTTTACTTACTTCTCCTTAAGGAACACTTTTTCACATGTGCCTTTCCTTATATAGTCATGTTAACCATGTTCAGAACAATCACTTCAACATTCATTTTTAATCTTACAGGTTACAATTTCCATCTCTATCTCTTGTTATAAGAGATGTCCCTTGTACCTAAGATATTTATTTTTGGATACTAAAGTATTTCTTTGAGTGATTTTTTATTTGTTTGTTAATCCTCACCAGAGGATATTTTTTTCCACTGATTTTTTTTTTTTTTTTTTTTTTTTTTTTTTTAGTGAGAGTGGAAGGGTGTGGGGAGAGAGAGAGACCAGAATCAAACCCATGACCCTTCAGTCCGTGGGTTGACACTCTAACCACTGAGCAAAACAGGTTAGGGCTCTTTGAGTGATTTTTAAAGAAGAGTATGTGTTTGAATCTTTGCATATCTGAGAATATTTATTAAATATAAATTCTCTGCCTGGCTGATGTAACTCAGGGGTTGAGCATCTACCTATGGAGCAGGGGGTCACAGTTCAATTCCCAGTCAGGGCTCAATCCCCAATAGGGGGGTGCAGGAGGCAGCCCATGGATGATTCTCTCTCATCATTGACGTTTCTCTCTCTCTATCCCTTCCCCTTCCTATCTGAAATCAATAAAAAAAAATTTTAAACAAAATGTGTATTCTTCTGACATAGTTATAACTAAAGGGTGTTTTCCTAAGGAAATGATAGTGATATGCAAAGATGTGTGTACAAATTCATTTTGCAGTATTATTACAAATATTAGAAACTGATAAATGTCAACAAATAGAAAATTGGTCAGATAAAATAGAACTATTTCCAGCCATTACTGCAAAATCATAACAGTTTTATTACTTTTTTCACCTAACTGGAATTACGTATCATTAATCTTTTTGCCTGTTCCTTGTGCAAGTTATAATTATTTAGCTCATACAAAGCCAACATTAGCATGTTTAGCTGTTAACGTTAATATTCTATTTAGCATCTTTTTTTAAAGTTTTTTAATTAGATTAACAGTTGGCTAACAAGTATGTATTATTGAAAATATTTTTAAAAGACCTTTAATTTTAGGGCAGGAGCAGGGTGGAGGGTGTCACGGGGGGAAATGAGGGACACTTGTAATACTTTCAACAATAAAGACAAATTAAATAAAGAAATACCTTTACTTTTAGTTTGTTCCTTGTAGTCACTCCATGGATTCCTTTGGGCATCCTAGAGCAGAAGATAACCAGTCAGTAGTCAGCAGAATGCAAAAGAAATACTGGAAAACTAAACAGGTCCTCATCAAAGCCACAGGGAAAAAGGAGGATGAGCACGTGGTGGCATCTGACGCAGAACTGGATGCTAAACTGGAGGTAAACTTTTCTGTGAGCTGTTAGCCACAGTAGTAATAAAGGCATTACACGGAAAATTCTAAACAAAAATAATTTACAGGTAATTTATTTTTAATGTTATAATACATTATTAATATTTATAGTAAATTCACTGACCTCTCTTGCTTAGACCAATATTGGAAAAGAGCCAGGGTCCGAGTTAACGTTTTCTAAGGTTATCTATACTCCCTGATCTGTGGTTGGCAATGCTGGATGCGGTTTTCATTGGATTTGCCATTTTGGAGCTGAGGGGAGGGCAAACTCCACAGTTTGAAATTTCTATTAGCTCCCATGTATTGATCACCATTTCTTCCCCAAACATCATGAGGGAAGTCTCAATGTGCTTTCTACATCAGAAACAAAACCCAAACTCAAGTACATCCCAGTCCAGGAAAATAGACATAAGACGTACAAGAAAATGTTCCGCTTTTGAAGTGCTTATAACAGATATTTTGTGTTTGTTTATGGTTCTCTAAACTGTGCTAATAACATTTATGTCTCCAAGGTTTTTCACTCCATTCAAGAGACATGCACTGAACTTCTGAAGATAGTTGAGAAGTACCAGCTAAGACTCAATGGTATGAAATCATAGACATGTATCCTGTAATCCCAATGTAATGGAAACCCTTATCTGAATGAAATGTTTAATGTAAAAATAGTTTCTTGAACTGTTTTTAGGAACAGTTTCTTATGATGACATAGAAATATTTACGGGGACCTGTTCTCAAAGTCCCAGAGTTCTCCAACACATTCATTTTGCTGAGCTCGGTTTTCCTGCTCAGAGTCTTAAGTGGATTTGCTTCCATCACTTAAAAACTCTCTCTCTTGACACCCCCCACCAGTTGCCCGTGCAGTTACCATGCCATTCCTCTGCTCCTTAACAGAAAATTTGGACATATTGTCTGTATGCACAGTCTTAATTCCTGTCTTTCCACTTTCTCTGCACTCACTCCAGTTAAGTCTGCATCCCCACCCCTCTACTAAGTTGCTTTTGTAATAAAAAATGGTCAAATCCTAAAATGCATATCTGCACATTTGAAAATGCATCATTTGTGGTTTTATTTTGTCATTTTTATTTTTATGTTTTACTAAAGACCGATCTTTCCCAAAACAAGTTCCATGGAGTCACTGCATCAAACCATCTGGCCCTGGCCGGTGGGCTCAGTTGATTGAGTGTTGTCCCATGCACCAAAAGGTTGCCGGTTCAATTCCTGGTTGGGCCTCATACCCAAGTTGCGCATTTGATCCCCAATCGGGGCACATACAGGAGGCAGCCTATCGATTTTCTCTCTCCCTCTCCCTTCTCCTTTCTCCCTTCCTCTCTCTCTCTCTCTCTCTCTCTCAAAAAAAAAAAAAAGCAGAATCTCTGGAAATGGAGCCCAGGAGTTGCATCTTAAAAATGTCTTCTTCTTCCCCAAGTAATTCTTATGCATAGATCATTAGTTCTGTGAGAATTTTAGTGATGTGTGTGTTTTAAACAGATGATAAAAATGAAACAATTAACTATACTGTAATTTTTTCCCTAGTTGTATCAGAGGAAGAAAATGAACTAGGGCTCTTTTTAAAGTTTCAAGCAGAACGAGATGCAACGCAAGCTGGCAAACTGATGGATGCCACGGGCAAGGCACTCTGTTCCTCAGCCAAGCAAAGGTTACCTGGTTTTGCATCATCCTTAAATCTGTAGTCACTGTGACAGTTTGATGTATGTGCCTAAATGTGCATGTTGAAAAGGTTACTGATCATTCCAATCGAGGGCTAAAAGAGAAATATATTGCAGTATGTAATTGTTTTGAGACCTAACTCTTATTTATTTAGTATTTTAAATAATTATTTAAAAATTGACATTCTCAGTTGTTTAATTCCTAGAAATTGACTTGAGGCCTGTATTTAAATTTCTTAAGGGGTTTAATGTAACAGAGGCATCGCATAGCTAAAATTTAAATAGATATAGGTATATATTTTTCACTTTTTTGGGTACTATACTATCTATGAATACATTCAAACTTTTTAAGCAGAGGAAATTTTTTCTTCTTAATTATATACTTTGCATTTATCATCTTGCAGTTTTTTATCTTAAAATATGTGCTGCAAAGAATCTCCAACAGTTACTAAAGACAGCCAAAATCTTTGCACTTTCCAAAGAAAATAAAATCAGGCCTTCTCAGACCTGCAATGACCATATGTAACTTAAGCGGTTTTATTCTGAAACACCACATCAGTGACCAAGTTCATCCTTAAGGATGTGACAAAGAGACACTCAATACAGTGCGACACTTTATCTAATGTCAAAAGCAGACCAGAGGAGCCGGGTTGCACTGATGCTTCTTAAGTCCTTGTTTCTTTGTCCTCACCCTCAGCTGCTAAGAACCCGATCCTCATTTGTTCTTCTAGTATTTATCCGCTTTTCCACACCCAGGTTTTCCCTAAATTTGTCAATTAAAAGGTTTTTTGTTTATAAGATAATTCTTTATAAATACAGGGTCTCTTTTACCCATGAACTCTTTTAGAAATGGCAAATGTACTTGAGAGGTTATTTCTATGTGGATTAACATCCAACATGTTGCAAAAAATGATATGTTTTCTAAAATAAGAAAAGAGAAAGATATGGACACATCGTTATTAACAATTCCAAGTTGGCTATGTGATCCTTATTTGCTTTCTAAAGCCCTTTAGGCGTCTTAATAATTTACTATGTACAGACTCATCTGGACAGCAACTACGCTTTATGGTTGTTATAAACCTTTGTTTTTGCTTTGTTTGGCTTATGGCGTGCACAACCCTCTGATTTTTACCCCTTTGCCATTAGATTGGCCCTGTATACGCCCCTGTCTCGTCTTAAGCAAGAAGTAGCAACATTCAGTCAAAGGGCGGTATCCGATACCTTGACGACAATTAATCGCATGGAGCAGGCACGCACGGAGTACAGAGGGGCTCTGCTGTGGATGAAGGACGTGTCCCAGGAGCTGGACCCAGACACCTTAAAGCAAATGGAAAAGTTCAGAAAAGTATGAAAACACACCCTTCTTTTCCTGGTACACAAACCTGTTTAACTTCTACTGAATCACTTCATAAGATCAGACTACTTTTGACAAAATGGTATGTTATAAATTCCTGGTTGCTTGGAGATCTTCGTTGGAAGTACAAAAGGTTGCCACACTTTTTGTTTTACCCTTTGATTGGCATCCCCCACCCGTGGATCTTGTCTATTAATTTCTTTATCTCCCTCATAATAGATCTAACCACCCTTTAAACATTGCTTACCTGGACTTTGGGGCTTTTTTCTTTCTTTTTTTGCAGGAGGGAAATAGTTTATTAATGAGGAAAAATATATACGTAAAAATTCAGGTAAAATGATTATGAATTATAAGAAAAGTGATCACATTTTTCATTCTGCCACAATACGTAGTTTGACCACAAACTTTTAAAGCAACTACCTATGTATAGACATATGTTTTTCTGAATACACTCCTTATTATAAATTGCATTGCCTAAATTTACCGTACACGATTAATAAAATTCATTCACTCTTTCATTTCATAAATATTTGGAGTACCTATAGTAAAAATCGTATTCACTGTTGCTGAAGCCTTGATTCTAGACCAGCAGTTACAAGTGGTTTGCCTCACTGATTACTCCCAACAGATCTGGGAAGTAGGTGGACACATGGCCTCAGGCCACGGCAACCTGTAATTCTGTTCCCTTTATAATACTTGACAATTAGAATACAGTCCAAGGCAGGGGTTGCACAACACTGTGAATGCATTAATGTCAGTTAACTGTAAATTTTTAAATGGTTAGGTGTTATGTTATGTGACTTTCACCTCAATTTAAATAAATAAACAAACAAAAGAATACAATCCAAACCTCTTATCTGGACCCCAGTAGCCCTGCACAGTCTGATCCTTGGACCCTCTGCGGCCACATCTTGAACTTACTTTTTATGCTCCAGCAAGGAGTACGTTCTACTCTGTTCCTTCCTGTTCGGCAAACGTAAGGTCCTCACCCACCTCCCACGCCCAGGACTCTTGTCCCTGGGCCCGGAATGCCCGCCTCCGGGTCTTGGCATGGCCCGCTCACCACCTTTGTGTCCCAGTTCAAACATCATGCACAAGCCCACCAAGGGCTTCCCTGGTTATCTTATCAAAAGTAGTCACCCAGCCCTGGCTGGTGTGGCTCAGTGGATAGATCGTCAGCCTGTGGACTGAAGGATCCCGGGTTTGATTCCAGTCAAGGGCACATGCCCAGGTTGCAGGCTTGCTCCCCAGTGGGGGGCGTGCAGGAGACAGCCAATCAATGATATTCTCTCTCTCTCTCTCTCTCTCTCTCTCTCCCTCCCTCCCTCCCTCCCTCTCTCCCTTCCTCTCTGAAATCAATGAAAAAAAATATTTTTAAAAAGCAGTCACCATTTCTGTGCATTTGTCTGTTATCTTCACAGTTTGAGATTATCGTCACTATTTATTCTTTTTTTCCTGTGCTTCACACTCAGGGATGGTGAGGATGAACTCTGTTTTGTTCACCACAATATCCCAGTGCCAGCACAGAGCATGGCACATAATAGCTGCCTTATACATATTTGTTGAATGAGTGCGTATATTTAAAAGTTGAGTATTCACGCTACTTGGTGACATATGACTCAATTTATGTATAAAAATAGAATAGGAATGTATTTAAATGTATAAATATATCTTCATGACTTAGCACTATTATTAATGCTTCTCAATACTTTATGTCCCCTTTCCATTTATTCTTCTACTCTTACCTGAATATTACCCATCATTAATTTTAGATGTTACTTTTTATTTGGAATCTGTTTTTTCTTCTTAACTATGTACTTTCCATCTATCATTGCATACTTTCTCAGCATAAAGACGTCTGGAAAGAATCTCATATAATTACTAAAAATAGCCAAAACCTTGACCACTAATCATGAAATAATAATATGGGGAAAATGAATTCGTTTTCTTTATTATACTTCCATGTGTCTGAAAATATGTGTCATGAAACTTTATGGAACATTTATAATCTGCATTATCAGTGATCATAGTGAACATTTTTTGTGGTTCCAGGTTCAGATCCAAGTGAGAAGCAGCAAAGCTTCTTTTGACAAGTTGAAGATGGATGTTTGTCAGAAAGTGGATCTGCTTGGAGCCAGTCGCTGCAACATGCTCTCCCACTCACTCGCTACCTACCAGGTACCCACCCCATGGCCAGCATGCCCTTGCAGTAAAGATGAGTGGTGAGATTCCTTTTTAAAAGTTGTCCAAAGGACGTAACGGAATACATAATTATCAGATTCCTTTGATTTGCTAAAATTGACTCGTGGAGGTTGTGGCAGTCAGAAAATCATAGAATCCCGGACCGAAAAAGACCTTGGTTAGGGATCGCCTACTCAGTAGCTGCACATGATTCTCTTGGGTGTCCTAGGAGAGAAAGAGAGGCCTGGAGCCGGTCCTGGGTAGGGGCGAGGGGCGCGGGGAACGCTGAGAAGGCAGGGTTTCAGCTCCTCCACTTTGAACTTCTACATATAATTTCATTGGGAGCAAAGATGCTGTGACCCTCCAACTTCCATGTGTCTGAAAATATGTGTCATGAAACTTTATGGAACATTTATAATCTGCATTATCAGTGATCATAGTGAACATTTTTGTGGTTCCAGGTTCAGATCCAAGTGAGAAGCAGCAAAGCTTCTTTTGACAAGTTGAAGATGGATGTTTGTCAGAAAGTGGATCTGCTTGGAGCCAGTCGCTGCAACATGCTCTCCCACTCACTCGCTACCTACCAGGTACCCACCCCATGGCCAGCATGCCCTTGCAGTAAAGATGAGTGGTGAGATTCCTTTTTAAAAGTTGTCCAAAGGACGTAACGGAATACATAATTATCAGATTCCTTTGATTTGCTAAAATTGACTCGTGGAGGTTGTGGCAGTCAGAAAATCATAGAATCCCGGACCGAAAAAGACCTTGGTTAGGGATCGCCTACTCAGTAGCTGCACATGATTCTCTTGGGTGTCCTAGGAGAGAAAGAGAGGCCTGGAGCCGGTCCTGGGTAGGGGCGAGGGGCGCGGGGAACGCTGAGAAGGCAGGGTTTCAGCTCCTCCACTTTGAACTTCTACATATAATTTCATTGGGAGCAAAGATGCTGTGACCCTCCAATTTTTTTAATTTCCTGTCATTGTATGGACGAGGAAAGTGCAACTTATGAGTATGAAAGGGAATGGAAATTTTGGGCTTAAAAATCTATGTTCTCTAATTCTAGGTTGTGTGTTCTTTTTATCCTTCCAGGGTTGCCATCCACATCACTGTAACCTCAAAAGTCTCTGCTTGTGCTTATATGACTAACCCAAATCACACACAAATAGCATACAGTGAATAAGACAGGTATTAATAAGTAGCAGTTACTGATTTTAACATGTATTTGTAAATGGCAAAATAAGAGCATAAACTGCATTTACATAAAAAAGAATAATAAACGAAAGGAAATGGACATTCACTGCTGCTTCTAGGGACTCTACCTAATTCACTTCAGCACTGTTGGATTCAAGAACCAAAAAAAGGATGCACTGGAAAATAAAAGTGTTTGACAGTGTGTAGCATAATGCCTGAAACACAGTAGCTGCTAGTTCAGTTCTCCTTTATTCTCTCCATTCACCCCCCTCACTCTGAACAGGAACCTTAAAGCAGCAGAGGAAATTGGTCTATTGGTGGTGTTGCCTTGAGGACACATTTTTGGAGCAAGTCTTTCTTGAACCCTAAATGAAAGGCCAAATTTAGTGGTACATATTATCTTCCTCTAAGATTTCTCATAAAAATCTACACATACCCCTAATACAAATAGGGGGTCTTTGTGCTTTTGTCATTTCTTTTGGATTCCTCCGAAGGTGTTCTAATCCTCCAGTTTCATGCTCTTGGCTGTACTTACTGTCTGCTGGCTCTAATGTACATTCCAGCGCTGTATTCAGCTAGCACGCGCGCGCGCGCACACACACACACACACACACACACACACACACACACACACACACACAGAAACAGAGCCAATTCTTATGCAGAATTACTATGTACTGTGCTTTCTGGTTCCCCAAACCTGGAAATGGATTTCAGTTTCTGCCCTTTATCCGGCAACTATTCACCTACTACACTAGGGAGGGAAATGGCATCTAAACAAATCATGGAGAGGAAGCAGCACTCTAGCGTCACCTTTTCTTTTTCTGCAGAGAACACTGCTGGGATTCTGGGAGAAAACAGCTCGAACGATGTCCCAAATCTACGGGGCCTACATTGGCTTACATCCATATGACTTTGTGGCCCTCAAGGTACATTTCTTTCCATGTTCATTTGTTAGATATGTTACACTTCATTTGGGTAATAACATTGAAATTATTTTTTGCTAAGCCTAATTTCAAATTTACAAGACATTGGCAAACATTTTTTACACTCCTTCAGCCAGTCATTTTTATGCACTTCCCTGATTCCAAATGTATCAGCAACATAAAAAAAAATACTTGGGAATATTGCTGGTTGGCTCAATATAATAGTAGGAGGTAATAAAAAGAGGTAGAATGTGAAAAGAAAAATAAAATGCAAAAGAGATAAGAGAGTATGGAAAGTAAAAACTTAAGAGGATGGTTCACAAAATGACCAGAGTACCTATCTGACAGTTTTATAGGTTAAAGAACACATTTCTTGCTTTATTTTCACACTCATATCTTAGATGTGATTCATGATAGAAAACTTATGCCAGTTGGGTCATTATATATGTGTGATTGCGGCTGACAAGACTACTGCATTAGACCAGCTCTTTCTGTGACGCCTACAGATAAAAGGTACCCTTGGCCTATGATTAGCATACTTTTGAGATTTGCATATCTTCCTGTCCTCCCTCTCTGCAGCTGGCTTACCACTCTGTGGTAATCACCTTGGTAGGCTAGGGTTCAGTGCCTTCGAATTTACCCTCCTACCTTATTTTCAGTGGAGCTTGAAAATGTTGTTGGTAGGTCTGTTCAAGCTAGATATGGTATCTGTGATGGATTCACATTTTGCAACTGTATATTCCTGGGGCTTGGTCTGGGTTTTGTAAGTCGTGTTCTGACATAGCATATTGCAGTCTGATACCTCTGAATTCGTGTTTTTGTTTTCTGTTCTATTTTATGTCGTTCTTTAGAATGTTTATCCTCATTTTCTTTGCACAACAAGAGGAACAAACTCTTTTCACCTACTTAACGTGGAATTTCTTATCCTTAGCAACTGCAAGACACTTCGAGCAAGCTTGAGGGAGACCACAAAGAAGAACAAGTAGAAAACAGTCCACTCACTGAGAACCTCAGCAGGTAAGCAGTCAAAAGTTACACATGGTATCGTGCAAGCCCTGGACACCCTGTGTGCTTGGAGTCGTTTCTTCTCTGGCTCACCGAATACTTATTTCTACGTCATTCTTCCAATGAACATTAAAAATTTGTTTCGAAGCCTTATTTTTTCCTCTCACTTTTAACATGGTGGGCAAAGTCAAAGATAGGAGTACGAACAGATTGGGCTGATAACTTCAAATTCTATAGTTTAGGAGGAGACTGAGCCTTGAATAAGAGTGTCCACCTAGTGACTCCCAGAAGGGGCAGCTTACAAAAGGCAGGGACAGGTGCCAGCAGCTCCGAGGACAGAAGCTACTGAAAATCAATCCTCAACGCTGCGGTAAAAAAAAAAAAGAGAGAGAGAAGGAATTCTTACCATTTGCAACAGCATGGATGGAACTGGAGAGCATTATGCTAAGCGAAGTAAGCCAGTCAGAGAAAGATAAATATCACATGATCTCACTCATTTGTGGAATATAATGAACAACATAAACTGATGAACAAAAACAGATCCAGAGACAGAGAAGCATCAATCAGACCATCAAACCTCAGAGGGAAGGTAGGGGAGGGTGGGGGTAAGGGGGAGAGATCAACCAAAGGACTTGTATGCCTATACAAGTGCATATAAGCCTAACCAATGGACACAGACAACAGGGGGGTGAGGGCATGAGTGGGGGGGGGGCATGGGAGGATAAGGACACGTATGTAATACCTCAATCAATAAAGAAAAAAAAGAAAATAAATCCTCAAAACCCACAGCTGGGCCTGGGCCTGGATCCCTGGACATGGGAGGCCGGGCTGTGCACACCCTTGGGTTGCCCATCTCCCTGCCATTATACCTTCTCTTTGTTTTCCTTTCAGAGCTGCCCCTCACTTCACATTTTAACCAGATTACACTGAGTATAATGGGGAACCCAGAAATAAGGCCCAAACATTATCAACCATTTTCTGTTGAGGGGAAGGGGATCTGTAATATAAGCATTTCCCTCTTTTCTCTGTGGGGAAACAAATTTTCTGGCTAACTTGAATTTATAAACATATTAGGATGTAGATTAAATAATCAAATGTATAGTTATAAATTAAACTTTACTTCTGCATTGACACTTAAAATCATATGTTAAATCATACATATTTAGATATATTAACTTAGTAAATTTTTTCTATTATCACATTTCATGAAATTTTCATTCCAAATCTCCTCATGTAGTATCTTCAGCTTATGAGAGCCTCCTTTTTGAGTTAACAGATCCCAAAGCACCTCACTTTCTCTCCCAACCAAGTTGCTTAAAAAGCCATGTATGTAGACGGGAAATTTCCTTCTAAGTCATAAGAATGTATTTGCTCTGTAGGCTTATTTTGATACTTGCAATTAAATACCGTATTGCATTTTAAATAACCGTAAAAACGTATTAAAAACAGGCTATATTCCAGAAATAATGACTAAATCTTTGTGCAATTTCTTTGTTTCATACTTTTCTTCTTTTTAAAATTGACTTGAGAGAGAGAGGTACAGAGAGAGAGAAACATCAATTTGTTGTCCCACTTATTCATGCATTCATTGGTTGATTCTTGTATGTGCCCTGACCAGGAATCAAACCAGTTACCTCTTGGTTCATGGGACGATGCTCAACCGAATCACACAGGCTGGGCATCTTTGTCTCAGTTTTTTATTTTTACACCAGATAGATGATATAAATATTCAAAGTTAGCATTAATTGACAATGTTTTAGGCAAATGTGTTATTTTGCAACCATCACTTTGTTGTTCAAATTGGAGTTCTCCATTTTTTCTACAGGTTTTCGTCCCCTCTCTTTAGTTCTTAAGTGTTGTTGAGTAAAAACCCTCCAATGCTTGAAAGCTAAACTTTATACTCAATGGCTTTGGTGACAGATGTTTCCTATAATATAGCACTAGCATAGTGCCTGCAGTGCTGAACATGTGCCCGGCGCTTTGTTCATTCTCAGTAAATGTTTATGGAACGAATAAGGGGTGAAAGGTTATGTTCACAGTCTGTGTGGATATAGAGAAACAGGGTTTGTCTGAGACCGATTTTAAGAGATCTACCGGACAACCAGTTTAAAATTGAAAACGAAACAACACACACACACACACACACACACACACACACACACAATGTAAAACTGTGGAATATGAGTTCCAAATGTATTTTAACCAAAATCTTTACATTTTTTGGTTTTCACTTTAGGTTAGTTTTGTCAGATGAGGAAGTGAACTTGAGAAGTGAATCAGGTAAGATGGTAAATTCATTAAAATGTGAAACGATCACATTTTAAATGTCAAAACAGTTTGTCACATTTTTTTAAAAAAACTGACAAATAAAGCAAGATATTATCGACTATACATACATAGGTAGCGCGATATTTTTCACTATGTATTATTGACTTTACTCCCTATGCCAGGGGTCCTCAAACTTTTTAAACAGGGGGCCAGTTCACTGTCCCTCAGACCGTTGGAGGGCCGGACGATAGTTTAAAAAAAAAAACTATGAACAAATTCCTATGCACACTGCACATATCTTATTTTGAAGTAAAAAAAACAAAACGGGAACAAATACAATATTTGTATTTGCATGTGGCCCGCGGGCCGTAGTTTGAGGACCCCTGCCCTATGCTGTCCTTTACATCTCGGGCCTGTTTTGTAACCAATTTGTACTTCTCCATCCCTTCACCTTATTCACCCAGTCTGAAAGCCTCTCCCCTTAAGTCACTTTACAAATCTCTTGCGTACAAATACTTTTGAGTTAGCTTTATTTTTTTCTAGCTTTTTGAGTTGTAATACTGTGTAAGTTTAAGGTGTATACTGTGATGATTATATAGATGTCACACAATTATTATCATAACAAGATTAGGCAACACATCTATCAGCTCTCATAGTTACCATATTTATTTTGGGGGTAAGAACATTTAAGATATACTCTCTTAGCCACTGTCAAGTATTAATTGTTAATTAATAGTTAATATGCTGCCCAGCCAGCATGGCTCGGTGACGGAGTGTGGACCCATGAGCCAGTCTCTCATTCGTTCTGAATTTTAATTGGTTTTTTGAATAAATTTTTCTTCATTTGATGTGTGCTTTTGGAACCATTTCTAGAGAATTTTAAATAGTTATTTAAAAAATAATTTCCACCAGTTATTTAAAAGCTGGTGTGCAGGTCCATAGGCCTCCTCACTATCATGCTGGAAGCCCCTCTTTTTCTTTTTTATTTAATAAAGGTTTTTAGGGTCAGGATTTTTCCTCTGTTAATTGCTATTTAAGTATCCCATGGATTATTCAGGGTATGGCAAAAGTAGGTTTACAGTTGTGAGTATGTAAAACAAAGTTTTATTCTTATTTATTAATTATTGTATTATTTTCCACATGAACAACTATAGACCTACTTTTGCCCCACCCTGTAATATAAAATGTCTTCTTTATCATTATTTTTCAGAAATTCCATTCCACTTGGAACCAAGAGTTAATAGAACGTATTAAAATTTACAGGTGGAAGAGCCTTTTAGTTTTTTGGTTTGATTTTTTAAATGATTTTATTTTATTGCACTGTAATCAGAGCATGTTGTTTGTAATATTTCTACTTTATGAAAGTCACTGATTTTTGTACCTTAGTATAATTAATTTTTGTGAATTTCAGTGTGTCCTTGAGAAGAAGGTATATTTTCTACTAGGGTTTATATATATTCAAAACAACTACCTTTATTGATTATGCTGTTTAGATCTTTTCTCCTCTTGGACTATTTTCTACTGAGTGATATATTAAAGTCTCCTATTATTAATCTGTATTTCTCCTTGCATCTCCTGTAGTCTGTCTTACATAGGTGGTTGGTTAATTATTTTACATGTAGATATGCATAACTGTTATATCTTCATTGTGAAATGTGGTCATTTTGATCTAATTAGAAATAATTTTCATATATGCTTTCTATCAGTTTATTAAAATTATGTTAATAAAATATGAGAGCAATGAAACAAATTTGGCTTGCCCTACATCCTTCTCTCATTCCCTCAAAAAGAACAGAGCAAAAAGCCATTTTGTTTTTATTGTCACTCGACAGTTGCAAAAGATTTACCTGGAGATTCACTGGAAGATGATTTTGAGAAGGAATTCTCATTTCTGAACAACCTCCTAAGTCCTGCTTCTTCAAGTTCTAGTGAATTTACTCAAGAATGCCAGACTGCCTTTGGGAGCCTCACGTTCCAGGAGCCTCCCGTGGGGTCCGAGCCCCTTGCTCATTCCCAACGATTCCTTCCTTCCCAGCTCTTTGACCTTGGCCTTCATGCTGCTGGAGCCTTCAACAGTGAGTGTCTCGGCCACATTTGGACACCCATGACTTATTTATCTTTGTGGAACAAACCATTGTGCATGTGGATGCTAAAGTCGATAAGACTGATTTTCGTTGACTTCAGTACTACGAGGTAAAATCTGCAGTCACACCAGTCAGCTGGAAAAGTAACACATACCCCACCCCTGGAGTCTGTGCACAAGAGCGAAACAGGGCTGCTTTCCTGCCCCTCCACAAGCGCCCCCTTTCTTCTCTGATGTTCCCGGGTATCTTCTCCACATGGAAAGCCAGGGTCTTGTCTGAAACTCTTGACCTGCTAAGCCACCCTGGCCAAGGGCAGGCAGGTGCTGTCTGTGGGTTCCCAGCTCTGGAGGCTGGCTCTGTGGCAGCCTTGTGGGCAAGCCTGAGGCATGGGGACCGCAGCAGAGAGCTGGGGGCGGGCTGTTTTCCTGAGGAAAGGGTCGCCTGCTTTGTTTATATGTGGAGAACTCTCTCTACTCCCGCGGTTCCTCCATCCTGTGTCCAACCCAGCACCTTGGGGTCACTTTGCTCCCCACTTCCTATTGGTTGCTAAGTCCCGTCTGTTCTCTTTCTGAAACATGTCTCAAGTTTCCCACGGTCCTCTCTGCCTCTGCTACCAGCGCCCCTTAGAGCCTCATTTGGCTTCCTGGGTTTGTGCTACAATCCTCCTCACAGATCTCCCAAACCCTCGTCCATCCTCCACGCATCCTCCAGTTCTCTCTCCAAGCAGCAGACAATATGAATCTTTCAGCTCCATTATAATGTTACTAGAGGCCTGTTGCAGGAAGATTCCTGCAAGAATAGGGCTTCCTGCGGCTGGAGCAAAGCAGGGAAGGGAGGGAAACCCAATGAGGTGGGCTTGGCTCCTGCTCTGCCGCCCGGCTGGTTTCCCTCCCGCTCCTGCTTTCCCTCCTGCTCCGCTGCCCTGCTGGTTTCCCTCCCGCCTCCGCCACCTTGGCTCCATTCCTGTCTCCGCCACCTCTACTTTGCTCCCTTCTGTAGCACTTCACTTCCACGTTGTCTTCAGTCTTCTCTCCCAGCCGGTATATGCAAATTAACTGCCATCTTGGTTGGGTTAATTTGCATATAGTTGCTCTGATTGGCTGGTGGGCATAGTGAAGGTACGGTAAATTACCATCTTTGTCTTTTATTAGTGTAGATGGGACCACTGTGGTATATGGGGTCTCTGTCAGTGGCCAAAGTGTCTTATGTAGCACGTGACCGTATTTCAAAAGCACTTTGAAAAATGTAAGGCAGTCTAATCTAAATCTAGCTGGGACTAAACATATTATTTGAATAAAATACATAATTGCAGATAAATTCTAAGTGTTTTATGCCTCTTATACTGTAGAATCTTACCCTGGTATGAAGACTGGAGGACTTATTAGATATTTTTACCTTTTCTTGTTTTTCGGATGCTACTTCCTATTTGATTAGCAATGGATGATTCTTTCCTTCCCTCCCCCCAGGCTGGGCCTCCAGAGGGGGATTCGAACCTCCTCTCTCACACACTGATAGTCAGCCAGTGCCTTCACAGAGTCCAAAGAAATCAACAAAAGGTAAGCTATGTATTTATGGTCTTTGCTATCATATTATTAATTAGTTGAATTCAGATAAATTTAGAAAATGTATCCAGAAAAATATTTTATAAATATAAATTAATAAAATAATACTTTATAAATTATAATGAAAGCTGTACCTGAATACCACTCACCGTAGAAATAACTGGATAGAAATTTGTGATCTTGCCATGGTAAAATAAGTTCTGTAATCTTTTCTTTTTGGTGTGAAGGTTTGTTGATGGTGGATAATACCACTGGGAACAGAAGATGCTCTTTGATTACAGGATGCCTGTTGACAAATAAGGCGCTCATTAGCATAGGGCCTGGTACATAGTAATTGCTAACATATTGCGTACTGAGATATTGGTGTCTGCAGAGCGTGTCCATGTTATAATTACCATATGGGTATACATAGAAAACAGACACATTCTGTCTTGCAGAATTTTAGATACATATTAATCTTAGGCACTGATGTTGATTTCTTAAAGCTTTTTTCATCTGAGAGAATTTCAAATGTATAGAAACGTTGCATAAATGAAAATACCACAAAGAACACGTGTATACCCATTACTCAGATTCTCCTATTGTTAGTGTTTTACCCCACTTTCTTTATGGAGGCCTCTCTGTGTTATTTATTTCTGAACCAATTGAGGATAAGTTACATACATCATGACCATTTACCTGTAAATACTTCAATTTGTGTTTCCTAAGAACAGGTATATTGTTTTGCACGAACAAAGTATGATGATAAACTTTGGGAAACTTCATCTTAAGATAATACTTTTCTATAATCTGCCATGTTTGTGTTCCAGTTTGGTGAGTTGGCCCAGTAATGTCCTTTGTAGCACTTCCCTCTCTGGCAGAGCAAGTCCAGGGTCATGGATTGTATTCGTTTGCCATGTCACTTGTCTCTAACCTATTTCATCTGAAACAGTTACACAGCTTTTCAAAAATGTTTGGATGTGGGCTTTTTAATAGGATATAGTCCATCTGTTCTACTGTTTTTTGTTTTTACTGGAATGCTTCTTATTTCAATTTTAGCAAGGGCTCCAAGTGATTAAATTCAGGTATTCTTTTTTTTGTGTGCAAATTTTTAATTAAATTTTTAATTTAAGCATAGTTGGTAATATTAGTTTCAGGTGTACAGTATAGTGATTTGACATTTTTATACCTTACCATGTGATCACCCCACTAATTCTAGCAATCGTCTGTCACCGTGCAAACTTACCACAGAAGACTTGACTCAAAAATGTTTGGATGTGGGCTTTTTAATAGGATATAGTCCATCTGTTCTACTGTTTTTTGTTTTTACTGGAATGCTTCTTATTTCAATTTTAGCAAGGGCTCCAAGTGATTAAATTCAGGTATTCTTTTTTTTGTGTGCAAATTTTTAATTAAATTTTTAATTTAAGCATAGTTGGTAATATTAGTTTCAGGTGTACAGTATAGTGATTTGACATTTTTATACCTTACCATGTGATCACCCCACTAATTCTAACAATCGTCTGTCACCGTGCAAACTTACCACAGAAGACTTGACTGCTGCTGCCTTTGCACTTTTAATCAGGCCTTTTCTCAGAGCAGCATGCAATCACTTAGACATAAGAGCCTCAGCCAAGTACAGGTATCTGCATTAGTTTGTCAAAACTATCCTTAAGGAGATGTAATTGATAGTTTATTCTTATCAGTTGCCTTAAATTTTTTTTTTTATTCAAAAGGAGCATCTACTTTAAAATAATGAAAGTGGTACAATAATGTGATTTCAAAAACCTGAGACTCGTTAACATGTGTGTGTTTTTTTAATAGCTCCAAACCATGGTAACCAAGGCATGTCAGCCTGGTTCAACCTATTTGCAGACATGGATCCGCTTTCAAACCCAGATGCCATTGGACACTCGGATGACGAACTTCTTAATGCTTGACTGACGTTCCGATGCCACTTCAGAGGCCTTGAGACATCAATTTCTCCACATATTGCCTTTGTGGAAAGGAGTTCTTATTGAATCCATACACAAAAGCATTGCTTGTGAATATATAACCCTTGTCAGCCAGCTTTAGACAGATGGTAAGGACCACATTTGAATACACTTGTCTCTTTAATAGCTTGGATTTGCAGCTGTTGATAATATGTGGGAAATATTAGGAACTCCTTAGTTTGAAATAGATTTAGAAGTTTATTTTGAAAGAACAGCTGGGAAGAATTCTTCTGTAAGGGGTTGGGCTTATTTCTCTGGAGAGCCTTTTATTCAGGCTGCTTTGCTGGCTGTGAGTATTCTTTATGTGGATAAAGGACAGCAGGTAAATTGGGTTGTGATTTAGGGTTGGATTTTAAATAAAACAGTGGCAAGGAGAGTTCTCTGTTATGGAAAACAGCACTAGAACCAGGCCAGTTTTGTCTTTAGTTAGAAAGGTAGGAGGATAAGGCTTGAGAACTCAATTCGCTTTAAATTCACAGAGAAACTTGGTGCTTGTTTTCTCCACTTAAGAGACTAAAATGTAATATTAAATTTTCCTTCATAGAAAATCATGGACACCCCTCAATCCATTATCGAGTTTTCGGGGGGAAGTAGCAGGATGACTTATTTGCTCGGTCCATCCACTGTAGAAACAGAAAAATCTCTCTCCCTGCCATCAACCACAAGAGTGTCCCAACACATTGCCAATGTAATGGGCAGTATTCACATTCCTCCTGAGGAGGGGGCGGACACGCCCTAGGCAACTGACAACTGTGTTCCTGAAATTACCCAGGAACTTCTGTCTGAATGAGGGAGACAGCGTAAACACCCTATCCTCGTACCTATTTGCATGTTTACATATTTCTTGACGTGTTTTTATCACAGAGTACTTCCTGCCGGAATCACAGAAAGCTGATCCCTAAGGGAGTGTCTTATCCTTCCCTTTTCCATTTGAGCGGCACCATCTGAGGTGTCTTTGATTGCTCAGGAAAACCTGTTAAACCCAGAGCGTTTTGAGCCTAAGTACTAGAGGGGAGGGTATTTCATTGAAGTTAGTGGAAGCTGATGAACACAGAGCCGCTGTACACACACATCAATCACTCAACTGCTCTCTTTTCTTCCGACCTTTTCTTTTGGGGGCAGTTCCCCAAGTGTGCTGTTTTTGTCATCCAGACCATTGCATCTCCATGGGAAAACATTGAGCTTAGCTGTTCACAGAAGTTTCAATATGCTCTTAGTTCTGAAGAGGCTTGCTTATTATTTACAAGAGAACTGCTTGTCAAGTTGGAGTCGCTGTATGGACCGGCATAGGTAAAATGCAGCCCACGGCTCACCCAGAGGGTCTGGCCTCATGATGGAACTGCCCACGGGCTCCCCAAAACACCCCACCACTGTGGCCGAGGACTGGGTAGGCAGGAGGATCTTGTCTGAGTGTCAGAAACATGGACCCAGGAAAAGGCTATGACGTCTTTCCGTGAAATCTTTTCACATGCTTCTTCCTGTTTCTTTATTTGCTTATCCCTTCAGAAGTATTTTTTTTAGCTCTTCTTTTTTTATTCAGTGAAATTTCCCAGAATGCAATACTGTCTCTGTTCTGCCAAGATCCAGTCAGCAGGGGTTATGATTACGATTCACAATCTAAATTTTATACCCGTGGTGACTCTGCTCTCACTTTGAGTATTTCAGAAAACGCTGACTCTATGTCTTCAGTTTGTGTCATTTTTCCTTTACTAATCTTTCCTTTACTAATTTATTTCACTAATGCATTAGTTCAAATATATTTATCTTCCTCACATGCATACAAAGCAGTCCCCTGTTATCTCATGCAAACGAAGACACCATGACACAGAGGAAAAGCACTAGTCTCTCCAAGCCAGAATCCCGAATACCAGACTATGAAAGTGAGGAGATACTGCCCTCAATTTCCCAAGAGCAAAGGTTCTCAAACAAACAAACAAACAAACAAACAAACAAACAAACAAACAAACAAACAAACAAACAAACAAACAAACAAACAAACAAACAAACAAACAAACAAACAAACAAACAAACAAACAAACAAACAAACAAACAAACAAACAAACAAACAAACAAACAAACAAACAAACAAACAAACAAACAAACAAACAAACAAACAAACAAACAAACAAACAAACAAACAAACAAACAAACCAATAACCAATGAAATCTAAGCCTTAGCATTTAACCTGATTTGCTGAGGCAGGAAATAAAAAGAAGGAAGCCAGAATGGGCCCCGGGCATCGCATTTCCTTACCTTGAGCAATAAAGCAGCCCCAGAATCTTCAGGTACAGAAATTAAACTAAAAAAACAAACAAACAATAAACCCACACCAAACAAACAAGTGAAAAAACAACAAAAACAAAACAGAAATTAAACTAGGATGGAAATACAAACTTTAAAATATTATTAACTCAAGAGTATTGAAAGCAGTGCATTGTTGGAGGCAGTCAAAGGGGGAAGAGAAAAAGGGGACATATGTAATACTTTCAAAATAAAGACTTTTTTAAAAAGTAGTGCACTCAGGTGCTTAAAACATCCTATATAATAAAAGCCCAGCAACCATAATGACCAGAACGAACGCTTGACCAGTCACTATGAGGTGCACTGACCACCTCTTAGTCCCTTTCCCTGGCCAGCAGGCTCCCATCACCCAGTGGCGAACGGGGACCTGAGGGTGGGTGGCAGGGGATGCGGGTGGAGCCAGGCTAAGGCCCCTGCCCTGCTGGTCGCCCCACACACAGAGGACAACCCACAGGGCTGGTGAGCGGGTGGGAATGGCTGACTTCTTGGTCCCTCCCCCCAGCCCACAGGCTTCGATCGCCTGATGGCAAACTGTGAACCCGGGTGGGTGGCGGTGGGAGGCGGGGCCGGCTGCCAGCAGCTGGGGAAGATGGCCCTGATCGCAGGCTGCACCTAGGGACCGTATCCATGCACGAATTTCGTGCACCGGGCTTCTAGTACAACGTATAAGTTGTTTAAATGGGCAAAGAAAAGCTATGGGACAGTATGGGAAGAAAAATGTTTGTTGGTCCAGGTGGGTCATATCCATAAGCCCAACATAAAATATCTTCTACCTTTTGTGTGCCATTGAAAAGGAGACTAAAAATCTCAATAAAAACTGTCCTTGGCATTTAAAGTGAAGTCGTGGTTCTTCTCTCAGTGATGTAAAAATAAACCGTTCAGTGCCCAAAGTGTAAACACCAAAGGCCTATATGTAGATACAGGTCTGCGTGGAGTTGAACAGGTAAGATTTTGAAGGGCATTGTTTTTACATTAAGGAAAGTTGTTTCCTTTCTCCCATTTCAAAGTAATACCCCACAGTCTGCAAAACACTGGAACGTAGAAAAATGGGACACTATGAGAAGAAAAATGTTTGTTGGTCCAGATGGGTCATATCCATAAGCCCAACATAAAATATCTTCTTCTACCTTTTGTGTGCCATTGAAAAGGAGACTAAAAATCTCAATAAAAACTGTCCTTGGCATTTAAAGTGAAGTCGTGGTTCTTCTCTCGGTGATGTAAAAATAAACTGTTCAGTGCCCAAAGTGTAAACACCAAAGGCCTATATGTAGATACAGGTCTGCGTGGAGTTGAACAGGTAAGATTTTGAAGGGCATTGTTTTTACATTAAGGAAAGTTGTTTCCTTTCTCCCATTTCAAAGTAATACCCCACAGTCTGCAAAACACTGGAACGTAGAAAAAGAAGTCCTCCACAGCCCCGTCATCCAGGCATAACCACTGTTAACATCACACGTTACTCTGTATTGCCTTTGAGCTCATATGGGATTTAAATTATGACCCAGATGATTTTTTTAATGTTTTCTCCATCTAACATGGGCATACCAAGTTATTGAGATTGAAGAAATTACTTTTGTAAGGCTTTTCCTGGAAAAGTAAATAAAATAAAATAAAAAAACCCACCAAAAATGTAACCGAAGGCCCTTTCTGCCTCTCTAAAAGATGAGCCCCCACATTAAAGAGACGGTTTCTCTTGAAATTTTACAGCTCCAGCAACATTAAAACCCAGAGAGCTGGAGGGCCCGTGCCACTGACCTGCTTGTTTAGGAACCGGCGTCTCCCCAGCTGGCTTTCCCTCGCCCTCTGCACTGCGCTGCCAGCTACTGAACGAGAAGCCACAGAGAACAAACAGGGCAGGGGTCCAATGGCCCATCATCTGCAGTGAAACGGAAACACCTCTGTTTACCACTGTCACTGTCACAGGAGAACGCCACGGCATGCGGCTCTGTGGTCAAGTTTGAATTCTATAGTCAGTCTTGGTTTAAGGGCAGACTCTGACATTTCCCAGATGCATTGCCATGGATAAGTCACTGAAGCTAATTCCAATTCTATTATCTGAGGCAGTAGAAACAGCAGTACCTGGCTTCAGAGGGTTATTGTAAAGGTTATGCTAAACAGTTACATATAAAGTGTCTCGTTAAATGATCAGTAAGGGTTACCTAATTTTATGATGATTTCTGCTCAACAGCCTTGACTATCTTATGCGTGACAAGCTAAAACGAGTTCTATGGGACCATTTTCTATGGCCAAAAGCTTCCGGCTTTCCTAAGGAATGAATAAACGAACCTAATAGATGAAGGAGAGAAGTGTTTGCTTCCGGTTTTGTACGTTCATCTGTTTTCATGGTCTCTACCTGTTTCACTGACAGCGCTAGCAGCGGCATTTCCTTCATCACATAAACAGGAAAGCTGAGTTTCAAAGAGGTGACTTCTCCATCCAACGCCCCATGACCATTAGGCTGAGAGCCAGAACTAGTCCCCAAACTGTGGCCCTAAGTCCAGGGCTTGTCTGCATCTCCTTGGTATCATCCCAATAATCTGAAAAATAAGTGCTTAATACCTGGAATTGGGATGAATGCTTATACTATTGGTTTTTAAGCATCTGAGCCTCCATAACAGTCTAAACATGTGTGGCAGGACTAATCCATGCTGGTGTATACACCTGGCCAGGGGTCCAGCCTGCAACGGAAGTACGTACCCTGGACTGGAATCAAATCCAGGACCCTTCAGTCCAACGGACGATGCTCCAACCACTGAGCAAAACTGGCTAGGACAACAGTTATTACTTTTGAAAAGAAATAACTGATTATATAATTACTGGATATTACTTAGTCTCTTGACAAAATACTCCAAATAAAATATAAAACAAGAATTGCAAAGGCCCTGGTCAGATGGCTCAGCTGCTTAGAGCGTTGTCCTATACACCGAAAGGTTTCAGGTTTGATCATGGTCAGGGCACATACCGAGGTTGCGGGTTTGAAACCCAGTCAGGGCCAATGCAGGAGGCAACAATCAATGTTTCTCTCACTCTAAAATCAATAAAAATATATCCTCGGGTGAGGATTTTAAAAAAAGAATTGCAAAAATACATTCCTATAAAATTATTTATCTGGATTGATATTATAAAAAGTATGGCAAGTGAAAGTACCATTTTATTTGAATTACTAGAAGCCCGGTGCACAAAATTTGTGCATGGGGGATGATGTCCCTCAGCCCGGCCTGCACCCTCTCCAATCTGGGAAACCTCAGGGGATGTCAGACTGCCCTGTGGGATCAGGCCTAAACCAGCAGTCTGACATCCCTCTCACAATCCAGGACCACTGGCTCCTAACCATGCACCTGCCTGCCTGCCTGATTGCCCCTAACCACCTCTGCCTTCCTGATGGCCCCCAACTGCCCTCCTCTGCCAGCCTGATGACCCCTAACTGCCCTCCCCTCCTGGCCGGATGGCTCCCAACTGCCCTGCCCTGCTGGCCTATTGCCCCTAACCGCCTCTGCCTCAGCCCCCACCACCGTGGCTTTGTCCGGAAAGAAGTCAGACGTCCGGAAAATGGCTGGTCACCCAGTCTAATTAGCATATTACCCTTTTATTAGTATAGATGCTGTTAACTATGATTGCCCTTTCTGTTCAAAGAAAGGACACACTAATCTGGCTGGGAGTCTTATGCCTCCAGGACTACTCTTGGAATGTGGTCCATCCTCATTCAAGAACCGCCCATTCTCTTGCTGCCATGCCCCCAAGGTCAGCCTTAGTTCCACCTCAGCTGTCCTGTGTGGGTTTGTGACATCACAAGCAGGCCACCCGCTTCCCATCCCATCCCAGTTAATACCAACGCTGACAACTGGATGTTTAATGGACGTGATGCTGGACAGGATTTTGCAAATTTCTCCACCCTGCCGAGTTCCGCAAGCACCCAAGTACCGCCTCCCATTCTGCCACTTGGAAACCTCTGGCTTCTTTGTTGTTTTTTTCCTTTCCCCTCCCGCTTTGCCTCAGGTGGGGAAGATAATGGTTTGTTAACCACAAGCAGTCTTGGAACTGGCTGGCCTTTGTTTTAAACTCCCCTGGATTGCAACCTTTACAAATTTTACACTTTTAAATTAATCTTAGAATCTTAAAATTTTAACCCCAGCACAGAAAATCATAAATCAGGGAAGAGCAAATTAAAGTCTCTACTTTACAGACATAAAGACAGAAATCTTAACTAGCTAAGAATTTCTGGTGGACCAACACCCTGCCAGGGAGAGCAGGATGAATCCCCAAGAATAAGGATTCTTGGCAGCTGCTGGGACTTTCCTGCAATCTCTGTCATGAGTTCAGGCCCACCACACACAACTGAGCTTCCCCCAAGGCAGGTTTTGCCCCATCTTTAAACAAATTAAACAAAAAAGCCAGACATAAAACATCAACACACAATCTCATACAGGCACGTGCAGCAATAAAAGTTTACATCAAGAGCAATGTCTCTATCCCTGGTTCGGGAACTTGCCTCCCCAGAACCTCAGCATTCTCCCAATGGACTATTTTGGGGGAATGTATTCCCTAGGCCTAGAATTTCTGTTTCCCATCCTTGGCAGGACCCTTGTGACTATGTACTCAACCCCTCATGTTGGAGGTTTCTCATACTCCCCGAGATCTGCTTTGTCCCTCTCTGGTCACTTCCCTCGCAGGAGAATGGAACCACAGATCAGAACTCTGTATTCGCTTTATGTCCAAGACACATTCCAGTCACATATTCCTGACCTCCGAGGGTACCCAATCACCAAAGTAGTACTCAGTCCAATTTCCCACCTTGGCTCATGCATGAGGTTACCTGATTGCCACAGGTCTTGCTTGGACCCTTCCTGCATTGGTGTCTGACTCTCGATCCCAAGCTCATAGTTGGCCCAGTGGTAATGGCTGTCACTCCTCACCGAGGCCGCTGCAACTTGGCAACAGGGTGCACCTCCTCAGGAGAGGGGTCTAATTTCCCTGTGGCAATAGACGGTATCCTGGATGAACCCCCAAATTGTTAGAAATAAGGCAAGCCCCCCAAGTCAGGGGATCTGGTAGAACACAAAACATACTCGGGAGCTATGCAGCAAGGCAAACATCTTTACATCTACATAGAAGGGTGAGCACACATGGTCTGGAAGTATGCATAAACTGAGCAGGCTTTTGACTCTCGATCCCAAGCTCATAGTTGGCCCAGGGGTAATAGCTGTCACTCCTCGCTGAGGCCGCCGCAACTTGGCAACAGGGTGCACCTCCTCAGAAGAGGGGTCTAATTTCCCTGTGGCAATAGATGGTATCCTGGATGAGCCCCCAAATTGTTAGAAATAAGACAAGCCCCCGAAGTCAGGGGTTCTGGTAGAACACAAAACATACTCGGGAGCTATGCAGCAAGGCAAACATCTTTACATCTACATAGAAGGGTGAGCACACATGGTCTGGAAGTATGCATAAACTGAGCAGGCTGTCTGCTCGGGATTTATGATCCCTGATGCACGTGACCTGTCCCTTGCTCAGGTGCACAGTCTTTCGCAATGGGCTAATTCAAAGGGAGGAGTTGGCCTTTGCTTTTTCAAGATGGCAGCCCCCAGGGGAGCTCAAGCCATGCAGCCAACATGGCGGCTGCCAAGTCACACAGTCCAAAATGGCGGCTGTCTAAACTGTCCTTTGACAGAAAAGAAGTCTTGTTTATTCCCACAAGACCTAACACCCTGAGCAAATCACTGAGGCCAAGATTCTGCGTGGGCAACATCAGTTAAGGGTTGCCACTTTGCTTCAAGAAGGCTTGTTTTGTCTAGTCTATACATTATAACAAAACCCCATACACTAAAGTTTATAGTCTCGCTGAAACCGGTTTGGCTCAGTGGATAGAGCGTCGGCCTGCAGACTGAAGGGTCCCAGGTTCAATTCTGGTCAGGGGCATGTACCTTGGTTGCGGGCACATCCCCAGTGGGAGATGTGCAGGAGGCAGCTGATCGATGTTTCTCTCTCATCGATGTTTCTGACTCTCTATCTCTCTCCCTTCCTCTCTGTGAAAAATCAATAAAATATATTTTTAAAGTTTATAGTCTTTAGTTTATGTCCTTCCTTCTTAAGTAGAAAAAATCTCCTTGAATAAAGTGATTGCCTTGTAGACCACTAGATATTCATGAGTGCTGCAAGGTGCTTGTATCCAGGCAGGTGCTCAGTGACTCTGGGTAAATGAATATATAACAATGCAAGTCAAACAGAGGAGATTTTTCTTTATGTTTCCAGGTTCCTGTGGTCTCTGTGATGGCTACTGGTTCTTCCCTAAGAATAACAAAGTAGTAGTTTATACTGTTACACAGGGCAGTCAAAGGAGATCCTGAAAATCAAATAAAGCAGCCAATGAGATGTCAGAGATATGATGCAATGGGGTGGGGCTTAGACAGAAGAAGAGAGTATTTGAAGAATATTTAAATTTGGCAAGAAAAGGACAGAGTGACAGGAAAGCACAGGGACAAAAGAACATTAGTAGGAATTGGAAAGCCACTTGGTTTAATGCTTTCATTGTCTGAATGAAAAGAAAATGTCCCCAGAGGTAAACTGACTTTTCAATGCCACATAAGACTTAGTCCATAGAGGCTGAATTAGAGAAAGATGAACAGAATGAAGGCTGGTAGCAAGGGGAGAAGTTGAAAGTCAGAAGTGGAGGGGAAATGAGAGGCTGAATCAGTGCCTAGAGTTTAGGGAAGGAGCACTGGCTTTTTATTTTTGTTTTTTTGGTGGTGGTTGCTGGTAGAAGAAGGAAGTCAGATAGACATGGTGTGGAGTAGTTTTATTTAAAACAGAAGCTAAACACCAACTTTCCTGAAGAAGAAATAACATCTGTAAAGGAAATGCTGTTTCTGAAATAGACATAGTGTGGAGTAGTTTTATTTAAACAGAAGCTAAAGACAGACTTTCCTGAAAAAGAAATAACATCTGTAAAGGAAATGCTGTTTCTGAAAATTCCATTGCTAGCAGTTCTCCTTGCAACTGATGACAATGAAGATGGTAAGAACTCTGGCCACTGCCCTGTTGGGTACAAAAGGGATGTGTGTGTGTGCGTGTGTGCGTGTGTGCGTGCGTGTGTGTGTGTGTGTGTGTGTGTGTGTGTGTATGTGTTTCTGTGTGGTGTGGTGACCTCAGAACATACCTGGAGAGGAGAATGTCAGCATAGCTCTGAGTATCCCATACTCCAGGACTCTGTGCCCTTCTGAAGGTTGTTTGTAAAGCCTGGGGCCCTGGGCAGCTGAATGTCTGCTGAAGTAGCCATAACTTCCCTAATCTCCAGATTCTAGTGTTTTCTTCCTGGCACCTTTCTTCATTCTCTCTCATTCCCAATGCCTTTTCTTCTCCTCATTCTATCTGTTCTTTAGCCACAGCCTTCCAGGAGGAGATCTCCTTCAAAATGATCCACACCTCATCCTTCTACAACTATTCCTGGGTGAAAATTCAGAACTCTGCTTGGTTGGATGACTTGCAGACTCATGGCTGGGACACCAACTCTGGCAGAATTATTTTCCTACGACCTTGGTCCAAGGGCAACTTGAGGAAGGAAGAGATAAAAGAACTGGAAGTATTCTTCCACGGGTTCTCTATTATAATGCCTCAAGTAATTCACGGATATGCCAGTCAATGGAAGTTTAAATGTAAGTTCAATTCCCAAAATGGGGAGGTGCAATGTGCTGGGTGAGGGGTGTGTGTCTCAATGAGTTCCTTATTCCAATTTTCCCGTACATTCAATCCCTTCAGCATTACGTCTGTACATTTATTGTAACCTATTGCATTTCATTCACCCTACGTCAGTGGTTCTCAACCTTCTGGCCCTTTAAATACAGTTCATGTTGTGACCCAACCATAAAATTATTTTCGTTGCTACTTCATAACTGTAATGTTGCTACTGTTATGAATCGTAATGTAAATATCTGATATGCAGGATGGTCTTAGGCGACCCCTGTGAAAACAGATCAAACCAGAGTTTGTTCCATTATCTCAGAGCCACCTTACTTCTTCTATTTCCTTTTTTTTTTTGCTTCTACTAATTTCATCTTTTTATTCCCTCTTTCCTCTCATTTACAACCCTCTTTCCTAGATCCCTTTGAGATTCAGATAACAATGGGCTGTGAGCTGCACCCTGGGGGAGCCATAGGAAGTTTCTATAGATTTGCTTATCAAGGATCAGAGCTCCTGCACACCCAGAACAATTCATTGTTTCCGTCTCCAAATGGAGGAACAAGAGCTCAGGATGTGTACAGGCTATTTAATCAGAATCATGCCAACAAGAAAATAGTACAGAAGATTCTCAGTGACACCTGCCCACGATTACTCTTGAGTATTCTTGATGCAGGGAAGGCAGATCTCCAGAGACAAGGTCAGTCCCATATCCTTCCTCCAAGAATTTTCTAAAATTACACCTTCCCACCTTCCCTTTAAATTGAGGATAACGGGTCAAGAGGGAGAAGGATAATGCGTGATGAATTCCCAGCATGTGGCAGATGTGTCTGTCTAAGCTGATGTGAAGATATGAACCTCCAAGTCTGTGTTAGAGTCCTTATCTGAGTATCTCTCCTGTTCTCTGCAGTAAAACCAGAGGCCTGGCTGTCCACTGGCTCTAATCCTGGTCCTGACCGTCAGATGCTGGTTTGCCATGTCTCTGGCTTCCATCCAAAGCCAATTTGGGTAAAGTGGATGCGAGGTGAACGGGTACAACAGGGCACTCAACAAAGTGGTATCTTGCCCAATGCTGATGG